CCGACTGGTTGGTTGATAAATAATGAGCTGTTTGAAATTTTTTCAAAATCTCCGGACACCCTAATACAACAGGCCAAAAAATTCCGTATCAAGGGGGTGTAGGTCACAGTGTAGGTCACAAGTGTGAAATTCTCGTATTCAACACGAAGTCCAGCTCAGAGAAGAAAGCCATTACTGAAATACAGCTCAATAAACCCAATAGAATTATTAAAAATATATGGTTTACAGCAGTCAAGCGACACAAGAAACCGAAGACAGTGATGTTTGAGCCAGAACAGCCTTCCACTGCTAGACAACTGGAAGCTGTCGCAGTAGGAAAAGTAAGGATTGCTCTATTTTTAAGAATTTTGCGATGTCACTGATAATTTCAGATTGAAATGAACGTCTACATGACGTATCTGAAGGCATTTTCCTATAAGTGGGCTTTTATCTTCCTCTCATTACTGTTCTGCCGTTACGTTATGCAGGTACGACGTGATTTTGAGTGGTGCCATTGGTTATACAATCCAAAAAAATGAGTATTTTGAGGCCTCTTTTGGGGAGATAATGGTGCCCAACCTACATAGTGTCTCATTCTCTGCGGATGCAGAAGCTTGTTAGGAGAGCTAGGTTTGGCGCGGCGGCAAGCCGTCTTCCAACCAATGTTGACGCTTGCCCACTCAAACAATTGGTGGAAAATTCGCTGACACCGCCCCAAACCTAGCCCTTGTCGCACTATAGCATCTATAGCGAACAATACTGTAAGAATCGAATTTCTCTTGCGGCTGATCTACTTTCACTCTCGAAAGTAGAGCATAAAGTGTCATTCGCTGCGGACGGTTGGGCGTGTCAGGCGAGGTGAGTTTGGCGCGGTGCCAAACCCGTTCACCACTAGTTGTTTAAAGACAGCGCCCGCGATCGATTTCGGTAGGTTCGAAGGGTCAGGATTTGTTAAGAACAGGGGCAAGTGAAGCAATTAATTCATAAAAGAAGTAGGGAAAATGTAGGGTGCAAAAACATGTATAATACTTCCTACACTATTTGTAATTTAATCCATCTGGATCGATGGTTTCCGCGGCAGATTGTGTGGTGAGTGTCTCCAAAATACATCAGCTACCTAGGTTATTCATCTACATCTAATTATCCTACGGGCTGGCATTGATTTAATCGACTGTCTATTCGTCTAATCTATCTATGCGAGTGCACGACAACGACGTAGAACATTTAGGATTATTCATGTGCCATCGCTAGATTTTTGATAACTGTTTAACCAGTTCGGGCTGGCGGGATTTCACAGGACATGGCGTGCTATCAGAGCTTAGCATTTGTGTTTGACTCCGCCTCGTGTTCCATCTAATCGATTTCGAATCAAGACGAGTGGTGCAAGAGTGGGGGTGAGCTCCGGCTGTGGTTACGGAGCTTCCGGCCATCTTGCTACACTGCATGGTTTTTTCACCTTGGTTGATCGCGGACGCTGCCTTTAAGCGAGCAAATGATATGTCTGTACCCTATCGTTCGTATTACTCGTTTTCTACCTTTTTTTGTCGCATGCGCGCTACAACAAGAAGAAACGGCTTGAACGGGGTGACACACCTCATACAGCCTGACACGCCCAACCGTCCGCAGCGAACTAGAGTGTAGTCGTTCTGTAAGAAAAAAGTTGAAAGACGGGATCTGAATGGAACCCGCATGTTAGGTGGCAGTGCAGTTTATTTTTGCCCCATCTCCATATCGCTCATTTTTACGTGGCGTTTTTATACGGTAGAGATCGTTTCGGGTTTCTCTTAAAATATAGCAATATGTATGTAGTGTTCCTATGGTAATTTATGCGTATTCAAATGTGACAGGATCGCTTTTCTTGGTTTAAGGCTTTAAGCAGTATTTGGCTATCAAGCTGGGCAGATTCGAACGTCAAGGAGCCTACAAGTAGCAACACAATACGTGGCCTCGCTGTATTCGTCGCTTTAGGGATTCTGCACTGGTAATCTAATTACGGTATTTTCGTTATATTTTGGTGATATTATTGTGGTACTCTCATTTCTATGCACGTTTTCTCAATCAAGTACGTTTTCTTGAGTGAAACCTCCAACTACTTATGAGCTTCCAGTACTCTTCAATATTATTGCAACTGTATCGTCTACGTTTGGAAGCATACGCGCTTCTCTAGCTCTCCATCATCCACTCGTCACTGCAATTATGCGAGCACCCTTATCGTTTTTCGAAGAGACTCCCTTGGGCAGAATTCTCAATCGTCTTGTAGGGGTAGGTTCTTCCTTTACAAGTAGGTCCCTGTCCTCTGAAAGGTCGCTTCTAAATACATGAAGCCATCGGGAATAAATTTTTGTTTACTATTCAGGACATTAATTTCAGGATGTCGAGATCGTGGATCGTCCACTTCCCATAAATATACGTCTTGCTGTAGACAGCTTAATGCATGTGAGCTTTTTTGACACGCAGAACTCCTGGAGAGATAAGAGAGCGCAGAAGTACAATGTATAGCGCTCAAAAACATGTTGTTTCAGATTGCAATGATCCTTCTAGTGATCAGTGTTTCCATGCCTGTGTACATCATTTTCATTGTGCCATTCACGATAGCATATATTATGATTTTGGTAAGTGGAATGTAATCATCTGTGAAAAATAGGGCGAATTTCACTAGCAGGTTTCTTTCGCCTCGAAATCATGAGAATCTAAAGGGCGGAGAATAAAAGCGGTGGTCCAACGTCCACCATGTTGCCGTTGAGATCAACGAAAAACATTATTCGGCACTATTGAACTATTCCTACCCCAAAAACTCAAAAATTTTTTCGCTGAAACGTTGCCTATAGATGTAGTTCGATGCCCTGATCACGAATATCACATTCGTTTCGAGCGCTGGCGCCATTTGGCGCCATTATGCGCCAATTTGGCGCCACCACTTTTTCACCAAAGTAGGTGAAAACTGATAAAAAAACTTAAAAAACCAAAACTGAAACTGCAATTGATTTTTTCTTCCTTTCCTTACTGAGGAGCACGGAAGGAGGAATATGCTTTTGCTCGGCTTCCGTCTAAGGGCACGTGCGAAACGGAAGCTGAGCTATCTCTTTGCTTTCGACCCCCCTCAATAATTCTCATTTATTAGATTTTACAACATAGTCCATTAATCTCAGTTTCAATGATTTTATTTGTATATGGGGTTAATTGACATCCTGATCACGAATGTCACACTCGTTTTGAGCACTGGCGTCATTGTGCACCAATTGGCGCCACCACTTTTTTCACTAAAGTCGGTGAAAACCTGTATATGGGGGTTAAGGTTAGGTTAGGGTTAGGGCCACATATCAAGTTATTGATGCGATCATGGATAAAGAGCTATTTAACGCCGTATTCGTAATCAGGACCTCAATCAACCCCCATATGCAAGTTTTCATCGACTTTGGTGAAAAAAGTGGTGCGCCAAATTGGCGCATAATGGCGCCAAATGGCGCCAGCGCTCAAAACGAATGTGATATTCGTGATCAGGGCATCGAACTACATCTATAGGCAACGTTTCGGCGAAAAATTTTTTTTGAGTTTCGGGAATAGCTCAATAGTGCCCATTATATTCTCTCAAATTCATGTTCATTAGTATTGCCATTGAACGCTTGGAAATCAACTTGTTAATTCAGAAGTATTTCCTCCCGACAAATCGACAGATCAAAAGGATTGAAAGTGCGCAAAGATCCCAGGTGCTTGCAGTTCTCTCACAGAACTTCGAAGGAGCTGAGAGCATTCGAGCTTACGGGAGGGTAAGTAACTCTGACAAGAGGAGGAAGGAAGAAAACAGAAAGATCACGGGCATTTATCTTCACAATACATATCCTATTTTCTGAAGTACAAGGAGCAATTTCGCCAGCTCATAGGGTCGCACACGGAAATGCGCGCAAAATTACACTTGAAGTCCCTGAGATACATATGGTAGCAGTGGCTGCGTACATCAACTAAAGATGGCGGCGGCTGAGGTTTATGTGAGGCATTCTCATTCTGGGTCAGTTGTAATAATATCTCTGTCCAACACAGAATAACATGACAGTTGTCCCAAACTGAAATATCCCACATGTAACTGTAACGCATGCAACTCATTCTACTCCACGCCAACCTCGTCTCGGGCATGCCCTACCTCCTGATTGATCTTCAGACATTTCATTCCATTATTTTCATCTGACCCTATTTCATCAGAATAACGACATGAAGCAAACTATTGATAATTAACAGAACTATTGATAACTAGATAATTCAATAATTTACAAGCACGAAACCAGCTATCGATAGAGCTATTGACTACCAAAAATACACTTTACATCACCGCAATTGTCGGGTCGCAATCAGCGGCTCGCACCTGCGGCGTTTCCATCATTGGTTGCTCCCTCCCTAAATCGATCTTTACCCGATCGCCATTGGTAGAGCAACGAGGCCGAACGCCCATTTGGACCGCGCTGCACACGTACATTTGGACCGCGTTGCCACCCGCCCTCCGACAGTCCGCAGTGATGAGTACTGTCGGAGGGGCTGTTTGCAAGCGCGTCCAAAGTCGTTTACACTGAATAACACTAATCTGTGCCTTCCGCGGAGCGCGGTTCGTGGCGCTCCGAGGCAGAAGTGCGAATGTAAATTATATTACAAGTGGGGGCCAGAAAATACTTGATTCTTTCTATGACTTTCGAGGGTTGTGTATCTTGCACTTGTATTGAATCTTATCGATATGTTTCACTGGCACCAATGTTAAGAGTCATCATAAATATGATTATGATATCCGCCAACATGCTCTGGAAGGAGAGCGCCATCGGAGAATTCTGCGCGCCGATCCTGTGAGTGGGTGGCCTGAGATCAGCGAAGATAGTCGTTATTCGTCGCCACCGTAGCACCTCACCCTATTGAACTCCGCCCGAACCAAGTAATTGAGGGGGTTTGGTCAGATGACCTGCTTGAATACTCCATCTTTTCCAGGTACTCAACGTTCTTTCCAAGTAGGCGAAAGTTTTTCCAACGCCCTTCGATTAAATGTGTTGTCACCCAATCCTGTAGCAGTACAAAGTTTCCAAGAAGGTACGGGCGACGACATGAAGATGGGATATTCTCCTCGAGTTGCTCGATGTAGCCACCAGCGCACACCCTCAGTCTGGGGCCCACGAAGAAAATATCGGTTCATCCATTCCAGGTACGGCCGGTCCACACCATCAACCCGCGCCTTGGTGAATGGGGTGAAGATGATGTCCTGGACCGTAGCGACGTTGCCGGAGCTGCTCGATGTTTGAGGTCTTGCAGATCAAGAGTACTGGTCTCCAGGTAGCTATCCATGGGTGATTCCATTCAAGAAGTTCCGCAGCTGTTTGGAGGCCACGTGAATTCCAAAGGCGTTCTCCACTCAGGCCGCGACTGGAGATGACTTCATATTTTGGTGTACATGAAGGTGAATGGCGGCAGCCGGCTCCTGCTTATAGAGGAAGATCTTGGGTATCTTCCGCCCTGGTACTCATATCCACTTCCTCTGTCTGGGCTGCGAAAACTTCGCTCATATGTGACTCGGCCGGAATGACTTTTTTGCCCCCCCCCTGTATATGTGCGCGAGCGCGCCCTGAACCACAGCAAGTGATGTAACGAGAATAATCCATTATTTACGAAAAAACCAACAAACGGCTTATTATCAAAGAAATGAGAAGTGGTCATTTTTTTCGCCTAGTCTGTTTGCCTATCATTCAGTTTCTTAGTTATTTTATAAGCGTAACCCTGGGAAGCCGTGGGATAAGATTATGTCGGTATCAAGGTATAATTTTGAGCCCAGACTCATTGCAGGCACGTATATCACATTCTTCGGCTAAGACTTCCAAAACTTTTTCCCACACAATTTACCACCACTGGCTGGCGCTAACCCGACCAATAGTAAAACAAGGGAGTGCATCTGAACCCCGATGAGGTACTTTCAATGCTTTGAGTGGTTCTACACTCCTTATCCCTGAGACGGAGCAGGCGTGGAATTTGAATATGGCATAGAATTTATGGCATGTGGGATATTTCAATTTGAGAAAATTATTACCTTGTTCTTTGTTGGACAAAAACATGTTTACAACTTTCCGAAATGCAAATGCCTCACGAAATCCTCAGCCGCTGCTGCGTACGATTTAATTACGCAGCCACGCCTACCGCATCTCAGGGAAATTTGGGTGTACGGGGACTCGGGCGGTAAAAGTCTATTATGTTGAAGAACTACCGTGTAGTAGTAAGGATATTGCTAGTTCCACAGGTTCTTTCGAGATTTGGCTGGTCCTGAGCGCAACTGCAGTCAAAACCAAGACTGCAGTTGCGCTCAGGACAAATTCCAGTCGTGGGCTGTATTTTGACATTAAACATGTTGTATCTTCTACCTTCCCTTTCAATTCCATCTGCCAGTTAACTACCTATAACTACGAGTGGCTTTACAACAAGCTGTGACGAGCTGTGCTATTCTTGATTGATAATAAAAGACATCTTCCTCAGTAGGGTAAAGTGTGAGCTACTCTGAGGCCTAGACAGGTCTTTAACAGGCAGTCTAGAGATGAGCAGGACGGATGGTGGAGGCAGGGTCAGGAGGAGGGGAATGGGCCCGCCTTCGGCTGCCTTACTCTACCAGTACTGATTAATGATTCAGAACGAAGACGACCAGAGGTAGGAAGACCGCAAGTGGCCCGGCTGTGGGCGGGCGCGGCTTCGCCGCGCATACCTTCTTTCACATATTTCTAGACTCAACTGATATCAGGCTTTTGTTCTGTACTCATGGTTGAAGCTTCTCGACAAATACATCATCCCTGCTATTTTGACTGTTACTGAGTATGGAGTGGTACTAAAGTGCGTCGATTATGGGCACAGGCGAGAGAATAGCTGGGGAAGCAATCGGTGGAGAAGCCGTTCCCGTCCAGCCAACTTGGGCCGTATCACAGGAGGAGGAGCGCTGGCAGCAGCCGCCTAGAGCCGCCTGGAATCTAACCTATGTGACCGGTGATTAAGAGTATGGCAGAATACGCGCTAAACTCAGTAAGAATAAGTACGTCGTGCGCTCCGCCCACTGGGAGCAGGTTACAACACACCACAGACAAACTCACTCAACTCTCGCCATATATCCAACAGTTGAGGTCCTGCACATCTCTGCTTACATGTTGACGGTGTCTGGACCGCTCTGAAACCGTTTTGCAGATTTTTTTGTCTGGCTCCGCCCACCTCGGGCTGGCCCCGTCGCAATGCAAAATATGATATGCCCCAGCCAACAGTGCGCTCAAACCGAAGCGCTTTCGCCTAATGGCGCGGAGCCGCGTTATTAGCCCTATGAGTTTAATGCAAGGCTGAGTTATCTCACGAGCTGGGCCATGAGTCATCGTTCGCAGCAGAAAGTCTGATTTTCATCAGAATTTGTGTCTGGCTCCGCCCGACTTAGAAAAGGACGAGGGGCCACTCGCAGAGG